TTAATCCACCCGAGGCGTGTACCTTTCGAGCATGGCCTTCTTCCGATCCAAAAGCTTGTTTTTACCGACCCGATTCAAACCCTAGCTCCGATCAAGCAGAAGTTAGCGTCTGCAGCGACGAATAATCGCGTTGGATCTGCTGCCATTTCCGATGCCCTGTTGATCTCCGGTGATCATGCGCGGCTCGTTCTCGAAACTCTCGGTTCGGTGCTCCATTCCGAGACGGATCCTCTTGTTGTGGCTAAACCTGAGGAAGTTGATTCGGTGGGGGCTGATTTGAGGGATCTGGTTTTGTTTCTGTATATTCAATCGTATAAAAAGTTGCTGCCTCGGACGCATAAGGACTCTGCAGCTGTGGCTGATGTCTGGCCATCGACTTCTGCTTTCGATGGATACTTGTCGGCTTTATCGCCAATTCAGGCAAGTTTTTTTACGTTTTTTCATTCGCTTAGTTTTGTAATGTGGATCGTAGTGAAACCGTGGTTGCTCGATGATCACGATCTATTTGGCAGGGAAATGATACCGTGGTTGCTCGATTATAAAAATGGAACGTAATGCCTCTATGAACTAGGCGAGAAAGATGATTTTTTGTTTTCCATTTTGCATTGAATTTCGACTACAATTTTGCAATGCGAGTTAAGAAATTTGGAGAGTGGAGACACTCGATTCACCTGAAACTTTGTGACGTTAGCATTATGCAATATTGAAGAACTACATTGAATGAGAGGGTGTAGTTTGTGGCGTGTTCGTAATAATCCTCACGGATTTTGGTTCTCCTTAACTTTGGTTCCCTTGCTCTGATAACTCAGGCGCAATGTTAAGTTCACAGATTGAAGCCAGATAATTGCCACTTTGCTGTGTATTGTATATGTTTGAGTCAATTTATTTTCATAGTTCCTATATTGGTTGGTCCTTCTGTGTTTCCACTTGGTGATAGTTGGGCGACATTCTGAGTGACCGTTGAGAAGGCTGGTCTGATTTTTGAAATATTTGAGTGATAATTTGTTCTCATTACAGTCTCCATCATATGGGTTTAGATAACCATGCTGCTCTTGAAGTTTGAGTTAAATTTCCTTTTCATCATCTTGCAGCTTGTTCGTAGCAACAGCCGCCGGTTTATGCCATCACCGGCAGATGAAGAAGCTCATCAATTATCGTATTTGCAAAAGCACATATCAAATATTATTTCTCTCCTTGCAGAGCCTGTGGAGGCAGAAGGAGATGAGTCTTTGGTATATGTGCTAACCTTTATTTGTCTCATTCCGGAAAGGAGAACGCATATCTCATGCTAGATGGTTACTTCATCACGGTTTAACTGTTGTTATTAATTTTGACTGTCCAATCTCCTCCTCAGGTCCTGTCTATGGAGAGTTTTGAGCACATTGGGTTTCTTCTTCATTTTGGTGATAAGGGATCTGATGTACCTTCTTTGAGCCAAGCTACTCCATTTTTTGCGAATTCTGATCCTGATATGCCTGCTGTTCCCATTCCTGCTTCCCAAGTGCATGATTGGCTTCTGAAAAACATAGCTTCTACCTTGGAAAGCATTTCTGACAGAATTTCTGGGAAAGAAAATGGAACAACTAATGCCTCTGATCAAGATGCTGCAATGGAAGATGCTTATGCAGCTCTTAATAAAGCTTCATCTAATGATAGAGGTCCGTGTATTATTGAGGGAGTATCCAAGACTTCACTTTTCAAGCAGGCTTCCGATCTTAAGGGTAGATCTGTGAAGGTCCGTATTGAAGAAATAACTTGCATTTTCATCTGCAGTCCTTCAACATTTTGTAGTTGTAGAATTCCTCATTCAGTTTCTTTCGCTCATGCATGCACGTCAATTGCATGTTGTGTATTCTGCAGGTTGCCAATTGCCATGATTCTGTCATTTATCTTTTAGCGCCATTGAGATATGCAACTGTGTATGGATGTTCTGATTCTACTATCATTCTGGGAGCTGCTGGCAAGGTACGGCAACTATACTCCTTCCTGCTTTAGTCTTTGTTAGAAGATGCAGTGAGAATATTTTATGTTTTCTGCAGGCGGTAAGAGTTGAGCATTGTGAGAGAGTTCATGTGATTGCAGCTACCAAACGAATCTGCATCGCCAATTGCCGTGAATGTGTGTTCTTTTTGGGAGTCAATCAGCGACCTCTTATTGTTGGTGATAACCACAAACTACAGGTGAAGCGTCTCTCTAAGATTGAGGGTTTAATTTACAAGTTTTATATTGGGCTGATTCTTTTCTGCTTTGATATGCAGCTGATATTAGTAGAGACCCCAGTTTTTTTAGCTTCGTGTTTATGTTGAAAGCATGTTAAACTCATGATTATGTTAATGGTTCATGTTTTTGGACAATTGAGCATATGTTAGAGTTACTTCTTCAATTGAGTTTAGTGGAGACATCTTCTGATATGCTGTCAATAACTGCTGGCATCGATTTTAATTTCGATCTGTTCCAGGTTGCTCCATATAATACGTTTTACTCACACTTGGAGGAGCACATGACCGAGGTAGGAATTGTGCCAGCTATCAACAAGTGGAATGAACCCTTGGCACTAGGAACCGTTGATCCGCATGACGCACTGTCACATCCTACCGGTGCCTCTGATAAACAACCTGAATCTGCTGCTTGTGTGGACCCTGACCAGTTCACTAACTTTTTGGTACATGCCCCTTTTCGTTACTTTAAGTCTTCTCTAACAACTAGTCAATGTTGTTTATGATAATTGTGACCACGAGTTGATTTCTCGCAACAATGTATCTGGTTCAGATCCCAAACTGGTTTGCCGGCGAGGCGCTTGGTTCGACGAAAGACAATCCATTTCCATTGCCAGATGCATATATGGCAGTGCAGCAGACAAACGTATGTTTTATCTTCTTTTTAGATCGGAAGTACTCTGCTTGTTTTTCTTCCATATCACAGCATCTGACCCAAACTACATTTTTGTTTGAACAGCTTAAGAACTTAGAGGAAACAAGACAATCCTTGAGAGAAACACCTCTTGAAGAAAATCGAAAACGAGAACTTACCACCGCGTTCCACATGCATTTCAAAGACTGGCTCTACGGTAATAAAATAAAATAAAAACCCACTCTAGTTCAATCACTCTATTGGCATCCAATGATTGATATGTATCTGTCTTTTTCGGTGACAGCAACGGGGAATATCCGACAACTTTACTGTCTACAAGGTGACTAATGACCAATGGTGATCGAAGAAGTCTCAGTCACTGTAGAGTTCTTTTGATCCCTTCTTCTTCAGAGATTGCTAGCTCGTAATGACACAGAACTTAACTGCACAGCACACTCTCTAACTCCCTAAAGCTCCCTATTTTTTTTTTTGTAGGTTTTTTTTTTCTCTGCTTTGCCCTTGTCCTTTTAAGTGTTGAGTTCTTTCAATTGTTATAAGCAGATAACAACTTTGCTGCTCAATACCATATATATATTTAGTAATTCCTTGAATTTTTCAAATATTTGGGTTTCTTTTTTGATTTTTTCCCTTAAACATCTACATAATCAAACAGACTGAAACTATGAAAACTTCTCTGGATCAATTGTTGTTGTTCTCTTGTCTTTAGCTTGGAGGAAATAGCTTCTCTGCTTGGTCCGGGAATAATGTTATGAACAAGTAAGCACCTGCAATTTCAAGTTCAACAAAATCTTACTCAGAACCACAAGATAAGACCAAAGAACAATCTCTACATTCTTGAATTCTATGGTAAATTTTACTTACAGACAAGCACTGTTCCTAAGACTGCTGAGATCTTGCCTTGAATTGTTATAAGCCCTGCTTTGCCTGCATTCTGCAACTCCGTCGAACCAACCGACTCAAATGTCCCTGAAGATGCAACAACCAGTTAATCCGATTCATCATCCTTCCTCTTAACCAAACTATCTCCAAAACCCCAAAAGAAAATGATTTTTGATGAATCCAAATTGAATCAAACCTGGTTTTACAGATTGTAGCCCTGATGTTACACAAGCAATGTTTTCGTAACCCGCTTCCTCCAATCTACTAGCTGCAGCCGCCGATCTTTTCAAAAATCGACAAAGAATCTTAAAAAAAGCTCATACTACTACAATTCATTGATACATGTCTCTCAATCAAATCCAGAGTTTTCTCTATACTAACCTGAGACCTTCTTGGCAAACAACTAAAAGTTTGCTATCTTGAGAAAACTCGTTCCTAACCGATTTAACGAATTCCGGATTCAGTTTCGTGAATGGCAAACCAAAGAAGAGCCCTGAGAAATTGTTGTGTACTGTCCTCTTTATGATCGTGCCTGCAAATTTGTTCAGACAAAAGCCACTTAAAGAAATCTCAGTATCATAATGCTTACACTCTGTTCAAGTTGAGCTAAAGATTCTTTCTTACCAAGATCGTTGTCTTCATTCTGAATAAAGAGAGGAATATGGTGACAAGATTTGATATGAGCTCTCTCGAACTGAGTCTTGTCTCTAACATCAACCACAGAGTAACCTTCCACTGCTATTAGCTCCTTTGCTTCTTCTGCATTCACAAATCTCACCTCCGCCGCAATTCTCAGGTTTCTCCGCCGGATTCCGTTCCCGGAGATACACTTTCCCGCCCAAGTCACCGCTTTCAACCGCCTTGTTCCGACATTACTGCATCAGAAATCGAAACTATTTAACTAACTTCATCTTAATGGTTCTTGTTTTGTCTAAAAGGAGACAACTTTAAGATCAGGAAGCTCGTTTTTTTACCTGGTGAAAGAAAGAGCCGTAGGGCTAGGGCTTATGATCCCTGCCATTGATGCAGAGGTCTCTTGAACAAAGCTACTCGTCACTGCGATGATGCGATAGTCACTTGGACAAGAACCACAAGATTAGCCATACCACAAGGGAATTTAAGATAGCCAATGAGTTATTGCCACGTATTCATTTCAGCTTTTACATGTAGATCTCCAAAATCTACTTGGTCTAATCAGATAGAACTAATTAGGTTGAGATTAAACAGAAGCAAATTTCTGATAACAGAGAGCTAATACATTTCTTGTAATTGCTAACAAAGTTGATACTTTTTTTATTGTAGGAAACATTCAGACAAAAGATTTGAGGAAGTTACTCTCCATAAACACAATAGGAAACAAGGAGCAAAAGAGTTTTATGATTTCACATCTCCAGATACAGTAAACAAAAAAGAGAAGAGAGATAAACTCGAGAGCCCGGGATCAGCGAATGCACAGCTTATTAATTTCAGACACCGAAAGAAAAATCAGGAATCAGCTTCAGCTCTTTTCTCGACGGTGTAAGGATAGTATTCTCTTCCAGTGTCTACTCTTGTGGTCTGACCTCCAGAGTCGATCAAAGCAGAGGTAACAGCTAGAGTTGCACCTGCAGCTAACGCTGTCGGGATGCTCCTTGCTGCAAGAAAATGAAAACAAATTCCACCAAAATAAACCAGATTACAATGTAGTTTTGCATAAAAAGAAGGCACAAATCTGTAGCATCGAGTCACTCAAAGCTATGTACTTTTGATCTTTAGATTTTGGTAGTTTCCTGCACATAATCTATATCAAAGTCTTAGCACTAATGACTTTAACTTGAGGTAAGGAACAAATGAGTTCTTCCCCAATAAAACTATCTCACACTTCTTTTTAGTTACTCCCACTCAAAATTGTTGTTTGTCAATCAATCACTGCTAAGCTCCTAAATCCATGAACTACATACCGTTAATTCCAGCAACTTCATATTGGTCTTCCTCAAAACCATATTAGTTCCAAACTACTCGGAAGGAATAATAGAGACATCGGTGACAAAACGCATACAGTAACGAACAATGAATGAAGAAGGAAAAAAACCATTACCTCTATAGCCAAACACAGAAGCTCCAGCCACAAAACCACCAATAGCACCATTGAAAAAGTCTCTCTTGCCTCTATAATTCTGAACCAGCTGTTCAACACCGATGTAAACTCCTCCGATAGCAGCAAAAGTCAGACCGTGAGTTCCCATCATCTTCAGTGTTCTGATAAGTCCAGGAAGAGCCACATTTCTCTCCACTCTTGGAACATCTTTCCACGTCGCCATAATTGTTCCGTAAATCGTCCCAGCACCAAAACCAGTGACACTACCTTTCATTGTCTTCATCAACGGACCATCCTCTTCTTCCAAGTATCTCATTTCAGCTGGATCCATGATTTCTTCTAAAGTTCTACCTAAATACACACAATCAAACAACAACAAAATATGAAAATCGAATACGAGATGTATCGAAAGACGCGGATTTTGAAGGGGTTTCATCAAATTGAAGGTTAAAGTCGCGGTCTTTACAAATCTATGAACACGTTCCCAGATCATCAATATCATCAGTAAGAAAGACAATCATCATCGGATTTCAAAGACCCAGAATTCATTTATTGAGAAATTGGATTTATAAGGGAAAAAAATCCGAGATTTGATTAATGTAAAAGAAGAACCCTAGTTTTGGAGAAGCTCAGTAAGCTCATCAAAATCGTAATAACACGAAAAAAATGGAATCAATCCCTGAAGAACAGAAGAAAATGTTACAGAAACACAACGAAGAGAGATCATAAAAGGATTGAGAAAAAAAGTCTAACCTTTTCGAATCCGAAGAAGCGAGAGAGACGAACAAAGAGACGAGCAGATTCGGTGGGAAGAGCTCAACGAGAAATGTTTCCGATTGTTGTTCTTCGGAGACGAGAGTCAGAGAAAAGGCCCAATAAGAGCCTTATAGGCCCATTAATCTCACTAATGAGCCCATATATAAGCCCATTTACTGTATTCCGTTTCCCCTTCTCACTCGGCTCTGTAGCTTAAAGCTCCGATGGCGGCTATGGCGAATCGACGAAGTGAAATTGAAGTAAAATAAGATTGGTAATTAGGGTTTTTGATAGAAAAGCAAGCTCCTTTTTTGTTGATCTGGGTCTGAATTTTAGGTCAAAGCTATGCCGAAATCTCAATTTAGCAGGAGATACACAAGGTGGATAGAGCCAGGATCGAGTCTAAGCCAAGAGGTAATGTTTAGCTCCTGCTTAATGATTCATTAGGATGATTATAGATCAATATAAGGAACCCTAATTTGATGAAGAAGATAATGTTGATGAAGCAAAAAAAACAACAAAGCCATTCTCTGGCAACAATTGTCTGGTTTATTTAAGAAGCAAAAAGATTAAAGATATTGCAGAATCGTTTTTCATTGTGTAACAAAAGATTCTTTTGATGCATAGAGAAAGTAGAGGTGGGTCTAAAGAGACCAGTTGGTATGGTGAGAAGAAGAAGAGTCATAAGCCCTTGTGTTCTCACCTTCCATGTACTGCCTCCTATTTTGATCAGGTAACTCGAACTCACCCATTGTCGTTGCACCGCTTATCTGACAATTATCTGGCTCGGTGAATCGACCCAAGTTCAAAACAGGAGACATATCATTCGGACAGGTATTATCGTCGTCTTTGAATACCCAAGGCGGGTTCAAATA